CCGCTGCGTACGATATCATCTAATCGTAACCGATTTTTCCCGCGAGATATTTTTTTTCTCTCTCTCTCTCTCTCTCTCTCTTTTCCAGCGGATAAAATATATTCATATTCGAAGAAGCTACCGGGGCACATCGCCCTCGCGGAATTCCTCGCGGCCGCGCCGCACGCAATTAATTAACTCAAATATGATCCGGTACAATTTGCGATCCGCTCCGCGTCGTTAATCACGCGCGTCCGCGCGCGCGAATCGTCCCGTCTTCGCGGACCGATCAGGGGTCGGGAATCGATAACAGAGATGCATTAGAATATTATGACCTTTCCGAGTGCATTCAGTGATTCACCGCGGGAGCCGCGATAGCAAGCGGCGTTATCGGCGCGACTACTCGCGGCCCGCGAAGAGAGTCCGATGTTATCGCATCTCTCGGTTATACTCCCGGCTAATCGGGACAAGCGAGAAAGGGAGAAAAGGAAGAGAGGCCGGGGTGCTGACCTCGCTTCCTGAATCGTTCAGGGCGGTGGCATCTCTCCGAGGCAGGCTCTTGGAGAGCGAACAACGTCGCGCGGGATCGTGCAACCAAATCAAGCGGGAGATAATATCGCCGCGAATTCACTCGGCGATATGTCAGCTCGTTAAATCACCCTTTATCGTTACGTGTTATTCGAATACTCCGAGTTCCTCGCCACGCCATTTTTATACACAGATTTTATTATATAACATATGTATTTATGTAATTTAATTTATTAATTGACTGATAAATTTTAAACTCGTTCTTTCAAATCCTGTAATTCCAGTCTCGACTAATTGTAAGTCGCATAAAATCAACTCAACTGTCTCGCCAATTTTTAAAAAAATTTCGAGATTTTATCAGAGAATAAGATTCAATCTTATTTTATTAATTTTTTCATCTTACGAATAATTATTATTATTTTTTATGAAGATGTGGAAATTATTTTAAATTTGTCATAGATTTTAATACAAATTTGAGTCAGATCTTGGAAAGTAAAGTTTTTAATTATATACTTCGCTCAGCGCGAACTAGAGCAAAGGCGTTAATCTTAATCATAGCGGAAATCTCGTTGTGCGTAATTTCGTGCAATTACATTTTTAGCGCCGCGTGCCTTGCGTTCATATCTCTTTCTTTTCTAAAAAAAAAAAAAAAAAAAAAAAAAAAAAAAATACCACGTATATGAAAAGAGATTCAAGATTTCTGAAACAAATTCATTTCCACGCAACCGCGATTCACGGAGAGTTCGGAGGATCGCAGGATGCCGCGTCAATTTTTTTTCGAAACAAAAAAAATACGCGTTCCTCCCGATGCCATTATCTCGGCGAGATAACGAGATAACGCTCGATCCCATAGTGAATCCCACGGGCGAACAGGGGCGAACGCTTCCATCGGCAGGCGTGGTATGCAACCTTACGCCGCGCTCGTATAAGCGCACTCGCGGAGAGCCGCATTATCGCGGGATTACGTAAGCGTCGTGCCGCATGCGATTGCGCTTGTATTACGCTATAATTAGGATCGGGCCGCGCGGTCGCCGTGTGCGTATGGCACATGTGTATAATATTATATATGTATATATATATATATATATACACATGTTCGTGTATGCGCGACGTTACTTATGCCGTGTAATCCGCGTATTAATAACCGCGACGATAAATGTTAACCGCCGCCCCGGAGTCTCCACGAGAAGAGGAGCGTAAACTGCCGCCTATCGCCGGTCTAATCGGACAAACCGGGATTAGAGAGCGCGCTTTTCGAAAGGAAGAGAGGCATCGAACCCATCTTCCGCTCGCGTTATCAAAGTATGGCTCGGTCTCCCACAGCGCGCATTAATTGGAATATTTGGAATACAATCTCTGCGCGGTTCTCGCTGCAGAAATCGTCGCTAAAAGCTAGTCGGCGTGATTCGGACATTAAGGCGAGCAGGCGTTGTATGTATGGGTGTGCGCGCGTTTTCCTTTTTTCTCTTCTCAAATGTCCGCGTAATCGTCCGGCATTAAGGAAAGTAAACTGGTTCTGCACCGTGTGTACGAGCGTTTGACCGGTGCCCGACTTATCTGTAGCCTCGATCTTGCGAGCGAGCGGAAAAATCGCGGAAAACCATGATACCGTATTGTGATACCGAAAGCACGCGGTGTACAGAATCGCGCAATTTCGCTAATTAATTGATCTCTCTCTCTCTCTCTCTCTCTTGCGCAACAAACGACAACAATAATGAACTTTCTAAAAAAACCTTGGGATGCATCACCATCAATTTCGTATTAAGAAAACTGCAGCAATTTTTTTGAAACAAATTTTTAAATTATACACGTGTCGATGTAAAATATTTAAAGATCAAAAAAATTTGTGTGCAAACACATAATCAAAGAGCGCAAACTCTAGCTACGTTAACAAGTAGCCTGCGTTAATGCCCCTCTATGCCTTGTAATTAACCCACCGACTAAGCGCCGCTAAATGGACATTCGCTCACTAAATTAGCGATCGCTCGCTCCAGCGTTGAATAGACACCGAAACGATATCCGATATCCGCGCGCGATCGGATGGACGCGAAAATCAAGATCTCGCCGTGCTCGTTCTCGACGCGCGCTTGATTAATATCCAGATGTAATTACGCGCCGCCTCGGGGAAGAGACGAATGAGGCGCGAGAGAAGAGGGCAGCTCTTCTCCTCTCGTGGAGATCAATCCGTGTGGGAGGAAGGCATATACGAGAGAGAAAAAGGAGAGAGAGAGAGGCTCGAGCTGCCGACGAAACGAAATCCTGACAGGTTTCATCGTGGGCTGACGTAAACAATTTGCGAATGTAAATACCTGTTGAATATTGAGGGCCCACGGGGCCCCACGCCGCGGCCTCCCCGACACCTTGCGATCGTTTACCCTTTAAACTCGTGATTACCATCCAGCGCCGTCTCCCACCTACCGCGACGAGGCGTGTAAGTCACACATCGGCATAAATTATACGCGAACATCGCGTCGGCGCGGCGAAGTGCAGCGGGGGATCCTTCCTTCGTCGAGGAGGTTCTCGCGAAGCGAGAAACGATTGGGACACCCTTGACACGCGCGAGATCCGTCCCGAAGAAGGACGAGCGCTCGCTGGGAGCTTCGTCTCTGATATAGCTAAGTGAATTTTTAAAAATCTAGCACAGATTTCACTCAAAAATATGAAAGGAAGCTCGAATGATATATATCATCTCTGTAAATTACAGAGTCGCGATCTTGCTTTACAGTGTTTGCACCTATTTATCCAATTGACGCACTGATATCTCAGAGATGCGCGGCGAATCGCTATCACTTTATCGATTCATGGGATAACGCTCGGTGGTGCATCTCATCGCACAATTATTCCGAGGCTCTCGGCGCCTATCGATTCCGCATCGTGGTGCACGGCTCAAGAACTCTTATCGAGATAATTGGGAATCGATCCTGATATCGATATCGGCATCGGTAGACGCGTTTCGGACGAATTTCTCGTTTCTTCTGGATTTAATTATCGCGTTCATTATAACGGGATTATACGCGCGATGTGTACTGATAACAGTGCGCGATATGTTTATCTGAGCATCGCGCTTATTTTCCCCACCCGATTTTTCATCAGGCTAATCGTAGCCGACACAGGCAATAAAAATCTCCAGGCACGTCAGAAAATCGCAATATACATGTATATATAATTAAATATTGGGTTGTTCAAAAAGTTATTGCGTTTTTTTCATTTGATTTTCAGGTGCGTTTATTTAATATACGTAATGAACATTAATCAATAATATATTGGCCGTTTTGTTCAATGACCTTTTGCCATCTCTCGGGCAATTTCATAATACCGCGTTCATAAAACTTCCTATCTTTCTCTGCGAGAAACTTGTCAAGGTGCTGTTTGATGAGGTCTTCAGAAGCAAACGTTTTACCGTTCAAGGAGTTTTGCAAGGAGCGAAATAGATGGAAGTCTGATGGCGCAAGGTCTGGGCTATATGGTGGATGTGGCAACACATCCCAACCAAGCTGCAATAATTTTTGCCGAGTGACCAAACTTGTGTGTGGTCTCGCATCGTCGTGGTGAAACACCACACCCTTACGATTGATCAGCTCGGGACGTTTCTGTGCGATGGCATCACTTAATTTCTGTAGCTGCTCACAGTAGACATCGGAATTGATCGTTTTATTCTGTGGAAGCAGCTCATAGAAGACTGGTCCCTTCCAATCCCACCAGATTAACAGCATCACCTTCTTTTGGTGGATGTCCGCCTTTGCTTGCCTTTCCGGTGCTTCATCTCGCTTACTCCAACTCCTTTTTCGGCTCACATTGTTGTAGACAATCCATTTTTCGTCGCCCGTGATCATACGCTTCAAGAACGGATCGTTTTCTTCGCGTTTGGTGAGTTGATCGCAGACGTTCATACGCTTTGTCAGATGAATTTCTTTCAACTCATGCGGTACCCAAATATCGAGCTTCTTCACGAAACCAAGCGATTTCAAATGTCCATGAACACTTCCAATGGACACTTTTAGAGCGGTAGCAAGCTCCCGAACCGTTGAATGCTTATTTGCTTGCACCAATGCCTTGATTTTATCGTCGTCAATCTCGGAAGGCCTACCGGAGCGATGAGCGTCTTTAACCGAAAAATCACCACCACGGAATCGGGCGAACCAGTTCTGGCACTGACGTTTTTCAATGACATTTCTGCCGTAAACTTGACGCAACTCTTCCCTTGCTTCAGTTGCTTTCTTCCCTTTTTTAAAGTAATAAAGCAAAATATGGCGAATATGCTCTTCAAAATTCTCCATGTTTAAACTACAATTGCAAGCACAAAACTCGACTAAATTGCGTCAACTTTTTTTTGGTTTTTAGGTTAAGTGTCAACAACAAAATGTGCATAAACATTTGACATTCATGGCACGCTCAGATACAAATAAATGTGGACAGCGCTATCTATTGGAAAAAAACGCAATGACTTTTTGAACAACCCAATATGTGTGAAAAAATCAAAAGAGGTCACTCACCGTCCTGGTTCATCCCGTGGCCGCCGTCATCTGTTCCAAACAGAAAGAAAAAAAAGAAAATTAATCGAGATATGCAACTGATATGTAACTGAAATCCGCGGCGAGAGAAAGAGATACGTAACCGAGATTACACCGTATACGTACGCAATACATTTAAACGAACAATGTAAAAGCGGGGCACGCGTTTATCTCTTCATTTATTCGAGGAGCTTGACCCGCGATGCGTTAATTAAAACGTTGCAGCTGCGTAATCATGTGTCATGTCATTCTCTGAATATAATCAGTGTTCCCGATAAAGCGGTACTCGTACAGCGAGAGCAACAAATAATGCATGCTAATACAAAGTAGGCAGACGCTAATGACGTTTCCGGATGCCATTCATAAACATAATGTAATACGTCTCTCGTAAAAATAGCGCGGCGCGGTCTTCTATTACCGATGGAATATATTTTTCATCGATCTTCGCGTCGATCCGACGAGTATAAATCTATCGAGGAGGGATGCCCCTTCTTCGCGCTTGTACCTGCAAGAGAAAAGCACCCCGCGGGATATCGCGGGCACCTCGCCGGATTATGACGACTCTGCGCGCCCGGGACGATGGCGGCAACCTGCACGGCAACCTATTTGTACTCGACGGGTCCACGGGTATCTCGCGATCGAGCGCGCAGTGTTCCTTTATTTAACCCCATAAATAACCGCCGCTAACTTCGTGCTTCTCCTATACGCGCGTACGATATCGCGCGTATGATGCACTGCGAGACGAATATATATATATATATATATATATATATATATATATATAGGGTGTAACTGAGAGGTCTGCACGAATTTTAAGGGTGAGTTCTGTGCGATAAAAAAGATTACGAGAGTCCTGAAAGACTTCGTTGTGCAGTTCTGTAAAAAGTTGGGATTTTTACCACGATTTCATCTACATACATTTAAATTCACTAGATTTTTGTGCAGAGTCATCCGAAACAATCAGTTCATTCAACTTCTGTTAATGACGTAGTTAAATTTTCGACGGTCGCTTAATATCTCTGAAATTTTTCACTGCGTGCAAAAACTCGTATATAAGTTCTCAAAGAGTACATTTTTCAGATTTAAAATGATTATTGTGTTTGCGTTAATGATGCGAAAGAGTTGCGCGATTTTTTCATTTTTAAATGACTGTATTTATCTCCGTAACAGAACCTTTCAGAACCCTCATTCATGTAATATAATTTTATTATTTCGATGCGTACTCGCCAGTTTGTACAGACCTTTCAGTTACACCTTGTATATCGGATGCTGCCAGTCATTCTGCGTTGCGCGAATCTCCCATAAGCGATTCCTGTCCACGGCAGAAAGAATAACTTTCGCGAGGAGATTCGAGCGTGATGTGTTATCCCTCGATATTGGCGCGTGTGCAATCCCTCTCTCATTTATAGTCTCAAAGTAACGGTACGAAGAGAGAGTACTATTTTTCTTTCTCTTCTTACGACATCCAAGAACTACGTGTATACGCGCTCATTATCGGATCGCCGAAATAAGAAGATTAAAACGATTTATTCAAAAACGATGACACAAGTAATCAACGTCGTACACGGCGGAGTTTTACGTATGCAAATTCACAAATGCAATTTCAAATATATAATACGTCTCGCAGAAAGACGTAAGCAGTGATTAGAGGCTGAAGTCATTTTTCATGTAACGCTGCATTCTTGAATATCAGATTATTGAATATATTAATGCGGATTGCTAAATATATCGTCCGGCTACACCAGGCGGTCAAATGTACCAGAGGACCTGCACGTTTTGCGTAACAAGTCGACGCATAAGCTGTCAAAGAAAGGTTTTTAAAGACATAGTTTTTTGTAGAATATATATATATATAAAGCGAAAATGAAATGTGCTCGAAACATTTTACGCTTAGTTCCGCTTCTGAAATATCACTTTCTTTTCCCGAAAAAAAAAGAAACTATTTCACTACGCTTTCTCAGACAATATCGTTGGTCAAATAACGTGACAATATTGTTGGTAAAAAGAAATTTGGATAATGGAGTTTAAATGGAGCAGCAATTAGTCACGAAGAGACTGAGAAATCGAAACGAAACAACTGATTTCTCGCCAGGTGTAATCGAAATAATGATCGCATCGCGCAAAGTCGATAAATCGTATAAATTCACTTAGAATTAGCGAGCGATATGCGCGCGATAATTGCAGATTAATTACAAATTATTGCAATCGCGTGTGTTCACGCACCATTAGAGATAAGCAGACTCGGTTATGCGTCGATGACTTGAGAGATTGAATTAAAAACGGAGACTCTGTCATTAATAAATTAGATAACGATGATAACATCCTAGATAACGACTCGCGCGCCTCGTGTGAGGCCCTAAAATTGAGATCCGCGGTTCTTTCTCCGTCAAATACGTTGATATCATTAGATTTAACGACCCCTTGACTTCATCTCTTTCTCTTTCCCTCCCCTTCTTCCTTCACGGGTCTCGTGGCTCATGCCGCGTCACTGGTTGCTGCCACGGCGGCAGCCTTTCATCTTCCTTAACCAGCACCACTCTCTTCCGTCACGCATACACATCCGCGGAGAACGAAGGAAGACAACGAGCTTCCACGTCGGCGTAACCAACCGTTGGCTGGAAGAAACTACCGCTTCGAAGATGATCCCGGCTCGTATACGTGTGTATATGCGTGCTCAAAAATATACCTGCGACGATCGGCCACCAAAGAAGAAACTACCGCCTTCTATACCTATACGATACACGTCTGTGTATGACGAGCGCCAGGCAAGTTCAGCTAACTCGATTGTTCCGTACGGAACAAGGAGCTCTTTCACGCGGGAATCTCGGAACTTTGATGGCGGAATCATTGCTCGCATCGATGTCCTCCCTCGGCACGTAACGTCGCTTCACCGGATGTGCGCGCCGTCGATACCGGGATTTAATAAGCTTGCGGTTTACAGCGAGGTAATCATGATAAACGGTAGGAGTTAACGGCGGGTGCGGGAATCCGGATTTTTCCGTTTAATGCGCTTTTACGCGCGATTCGTGCCTTCGACAATATATTAATGAACGCGAGGAGAGAATCCGTGACGAATAATCGCGTTTGCAAAGTTCTTCTAGGAAATTGATGCATCGCGAGCGATAATTATGAGACGATTATTTTGATCTAGATATACTTGTCGACATAAAATCGCAATATTGTTCGTTTTAGAAATCTGTTCAATCGGTCATTGTGAAAAGAAAGAAAGAGAAAGATAGCAGTCGTAAAGCGCGCTCGACGCGGATTCCTGAATTCCAGCCACAGCCGTCGACTCGGCTGAACGTGATGCATCGTCATCGCGCGAGTCGCTGGTAATAGAAGCGTTGCCGCGCTTCTGAGACGAAGATTTATCGCCGGTATTTCGCGTGGCACGTGCCTGCCCGTTTTTGCGACCGCGACATTCCTGTCGGCTGTGCACCTCGCCATTGGCATTGCCGTTCGTCGCGTACATTTTGTCTCGAGACAATCGGAGCAATCATCGACGCACGAAAGGCAGATATCGTTTATAAATCGCGAGGGATCATCAAGAATTTGTTTTTGTTTCAAACGAAAAAATGTAATTATCGATAAATTGATTATCGCAGGAAACAATTGTCTCATTCATCAGAGATATAAAATAATAATTTCTTGACGGTTGAAAACAATGTCCCGCTTTATAACTTGGTCTCCTGCGATAATCGTCTTATTAACGTTCTACGTTAATAAAGGATTCGTAAGAAGAAACATACGTTTTTTCTTGGAGTCCTCATGCATACCTCCGGGTGTTGCAGCGCCGTGATTGTGATGGTGGAGGGCTAGAGGGTCTTGGGGATGCGGGTGAATGGCAGCTAGGGCACTTCCGGCATCACCTGGATTGACGCCGACTCCGACCCCCAGGTGTAGAGCACCATGCTGCGTCGCGTGTGCCGGAAGCTCCATGCTGATCATAGCACGCCACCCTTCTTCCAACCCTCTTCTCCCGCCACCTCCCTCCTCTATCTCGGACAATACCTCGTCGAGTTGGACGAGGCGTCCGTTCAACTCCTCGTCGCCTTCTGGAAAAACCAATGAAAAAATTTGATTAATAATTTGAAAATAGAACGAGAAGAAAGGAAAAAGAATGTCCGATTTTCTCTCGCGAAGAAAAGATTTAACTCGAGCACGATTCGTCGCAGACGACGATTGTTCCCGTTAAGCAACAAACATGGATTTTCGGTCAGTGACTCGCGGAGTCGAATCAATGGTGCAAGAATACCGTAGACAAAGATCTCGAGATCCTGATCTAGGCGTACTTCTCTTCCCCTTTCTCTCTCCTATCAGACTTCACGCGGTCGTAACATAAAAATAAGAACTCGACGATCTCAGCCGCAATGGGATTGCCTTCGCCACGCTTTTTACGCGCCGAGTAGATAATTTCTTCGTTCCTCTCTACGTAATGATCCGGCTGGGTGATGCCTTTTTTGCTTATTACATCGAGAGAGGCCGCCGCGGAGAGCGACACATCTTTCTAAGTTGGAAGGTGAGATCCCACTCGGATGAATGAAAGGATGAATGGAGCGTAATTTCGTCCACGCTGTCGGCGACGTTCATCTACTACTACGGACAGTAGGACCGTTCTCTTCCCATCTCTTCGGCGCGGCGAGAGCATTGTCTAGGTCCGGACGCGATTACGAATCCTCACGATGCGCAACTTAAGAGCAGCTGCTGCGCGATGGAAAAGGAAGAGCGGCTTTGCCGACGAGGGAACGGCAAGCCTACTGTCCTAGATTGCAACAATCCGTTTGTCAGATTTCTTCATCGAAAGGTTCAACAATATTTTCTTAATCATAAAACACATGTCGTAATTCATTTTTAACGTTTATACCATATTTATACATTGATCAATAACTCCATGCGAATACTTTGATCAAAGCGTCAAGATATTCACATCCATATTTCGTTGATTCTTTTTGCGTTTCCCGAATGTATAATATAAACGTTCGAAGCTCGGGAAAAAAATGGATGCAGCTCGCCTTCCTATTCCCGAGGGGTTGTTACGCTGACCCACAGAGGGAGAGAAGCAGCAAGGAGTCAAGAACAATCGTCATCGGGCGACCATCCGTAAAATTCGAAACTGCTCCCGCGTTCCGCCGTTTTATATCGCGAAATACGCGGATCTCATAACGCGTGGGAGTGAGACTCGAGAACGGTTACCGAGTCTGCGGTCAACGACTGTCCACCGCAGCAGGCGGTGCTGCCTTTGTATCTCCTGTTAGCGATTAAAACGCCTCGACAGGCTCTAATTTGCGTGAGGAAGTCGGTCGTCTTCTCGAGCGCGAGGCTTCGCCAAGGGAAAGTTGTTTCGTCATTTTCAAAATAATGGATTCATACAAAGTCACAAAAAGACTTATATATCTTACAGAAAAATTTAAAGACGTGTGTAAAAAGTAAAAGCATCGTTTGTTTCGTTTTTATATCAGATTTTTTAAGTAATCTCCTTAGAAATATCAAACACTCGCTAAATCGTTTACCGCGTTAATCTCGATAGAAAGCTTCCGAGTGTCAATTTTAATCTAGTAAGAAATTGCTCTCTCAATTTTCCAGCGGCGAGAAAATCCCATTTTCAGCTTATCGGGAATGAAAGAGCGAGAGATGATTGTTTAGTATCACGATTTCCTGATCTTCTTGAAAATTCGTGCTACCAACATCTACTGCATCTGACGGAGGCTGGAATGTAGCAAAGTGAATAAACGTCAGGTAACAGGCGGATGATGGTTCGGCGAGAAGGCGAGAGAGACGCAACGGGTCTTAAGTGAAGCAAAATGGGTGAGTCGTGGACGGCCAAAGTACGTGTAAAGACCAGGCTTAGAGGGAGATACGAGTCCCTACGCTATGAACCGTGGGAGTTGGCCGCACCACAGTGCTCTTACGGCGTCTACGCACTCGCTAAAACCATTGTTTACGGGCCGCCTTGAACGTTCGCGTACTTTGCTAACTGGACCCCACTCTCTCGGGGGCACCGCGCCGCGGGGACCAGACCGCACGCCGGTTACTCTGCATGTCTTAAGGACGAAAGTAACTGACGCAGAAAACGCCGCGCGAAAGCGAATCGTTCGCAGCCAGGTTCGCGATCGACGTGGAGAGCTCGCGTGTGGTCGGCGATCGCGGAGATGACCCAACGGAGATAAATAACTGGCCATCGATCTGAAGCAACCCTCTTTCAATTACGACATACGCATCTTGCCAACGAGTGACCAGTTAGAAAATATATCGTTAAAGAATTAAAATAAAATAGCTTTCTCTTTAAGGAGAAAGAAAGAAAGAGAAAAAGTGAGGGAGAAATCAGTATTAAAAATTGCTTTCCAATATTTACACAATATTATTATATAATATTTACATAATATTATATAATATTATATTATTTTCTAAAGTTTACGAGCTGATTTGCAGTCTATTAAGACATTTCATTTGCGATATATCTTTTTAACAAGTATAAGAAAGAAAAACGAAAAAAAGACGATATATAGACTTGTCACGTAAATAGTGATGACCCGAGGCAGTCCATCTGGTCGAAGGAAGCTGCAGTAGCCGGCGAAATATGCGGCTACCGTCCGCACCTTCTGTCTCCACCGCTCTTCACAGTCTTCGCTTCAGAGTCGATTCCCTCCCCAGCCGGTAATGGCCGGTGCTCTCGGGGCTTAACAACGCGTGACAATATGCATCAAGGAATTGCTCGAGCGCGGAGCACAACTTCGGCCTCTTCTTTCTGTTTCTCTTTCTTTCTCTCCCTTCGTAACCATCTATGAAAGAAGAAGAAGCAGAAGAGACGTCGTAGGTGCGTACACGCGTATTCCTCCTGCTTTGTGTGCGTGTTCGTCTTTGTGACGAAATGGCGCGTGTTTATTTCGGACTCACGTGAAAATCGTCGATACATTATGCAACTTCTTGGTTCATAAACAAACGAGTCCCGCCAGGAATCTACGGTGGAATCCTGAAGAAACATCCGGATGTATATCGGTTATTCAGAAACGCAAGTGAGTTTTCGCGGAGCGGTTGTCATGTTTATTAACCTGATGCAGAATGCAGAATGCACATTCCGGTAATTTTCGCGATCCTTCTCGCCAATCCAAGAGCATTCTTTCTCACGTTGAAGCCTAACGATATAGGACGCGAGGGTTTCAAATGTTGTAAAACTTTCTACTCTATTCAGCACGCGACAAAAATTAAACTATCGCAGATGTCGTACCAGGCCACGCTCTATGAATGTCTCTTGAATATTCACGTCGAGGTCTATCTCCCGTGGAGATGCGATGTGACACGAAGGCACTATCGTCCATCCTGGTACTCGATCAAGTTTTCAAGCGACAAGGGTATCCCTCTTTCTTTCTCGCTCATTAACCTCATTACCCGTACTTGGCCGCTACATGAATGCGAACAGTGTATATCGACACACTAGCGAATCGCAAGCGCATATCTACATTAATACAGAATGTTTCGTAAACATCGATTAGCTGCTGATACACCTACACGAACGTCATTATTTATAAGACAAATAAAATGTAAAAATGTATCGCTTCTCTTTGAAATGCATAAAATGCATAAAATCATACCGGTATCTATAAGATCAATCTTTTGTTCCAATCGCTATTTTTGTCTAATATGAGAATTTTTTTTCGCAGTATATAGCAAACTTTGATTGTCTTTCCTCTCCCTCTCCTGCTCTTTCACCGTATTATAATCGCATCAATTGATTAAAAATTATCTACAAAAAATATTTGCCTTCACCGTATATCTTTTCTTTTCTTTTTTTAACCACTATCATATTTTAGAAAATTTTAGGGTATTTTTATTATAAAAAAGATTTATGAAAAATTATTATCTTGAACGATTTATACATGTATCATTACAACACAAAATCATATAAATTTTTGTCTTTTCTTGTATTACTGTGTGATTGTGCTGGTATTATACATATATTTTATTTTCATTCAAGTATCTACTTCGATCTCATCTGTCTCCTTCCTTCTTTCTTCGCTAACGGACTTATAAAAAAAACCAATCGTAAAAACCGAGCATCGTTATCTGTCGCTGATACGGCGATCGACAACAACCCGCGGCACAACGGACACGGTGTCCTGTTAATGAACAAAAATTGGCGAGCCTACTGGAGCATGGCGAGAAAGCACAACCCACGTGAGGTACTACGGCGAGAGAGCCCGTTTATACAGTCGCGGCACTGTATCGGTCGTGTGTGTCTGACAGCGGCGGTTTGTCTGTCATGCACGCAGGCTCGGGTCAAGTAATTCCAGTTCTCTACGTCGTCGTCGTCGTCGTCGTCGTCGTCGTCGTCGTCGTCGTCGTCGTCGTCGGCGACGGCGGCGACCAGGGCACACCGTCACGGAGAGGAACGTATGTAGGTAAATATAAGTTGCGCGAGAACGGGCCGACCGAGTAAAAGGGAAAAGAGACGCGCGGCTTTCGTGGATAAGTGACTTTCGAAGAACCACCTGTGGCACGTGCCATTAACGTGCTCCCTTGCGTGTCCGTACGTGCGTGAATGCCCCGATATCCGTCGCAGCCGTATACGGCGGCGTGGGTGTGTAACAGGTGAACGCGAATACTGTTTTCCTTTGCGCGGACTCGACCTCTCTTATATAGCTATGTATGCAATGCACTGCAATTTCGAGGGTTGTAATCGCGGGCACCGCGAGAGAGGAAGCGAGAGAGAGAGAGAGGTGGAAAGAAAAGGAAAAAGAGACCGGGACGAATGAGAGCAGAGACCGCATTCTTCGCGATGTGTTAGCGAAATTTGCATTTTCACTCGATATGATGAAGCGATTTATCGATATCCGAATCGGAATAAAACTCACGGCGATAAAAAAAAGGAAAAGAACCGTTTATTCTGGAAATAAGCTCTACTCCGTTGCGACGCGCTTGTTCCGCATAACCATACGCATCGTGCATCAACGCGAGGCGAAGATAAAATCGCGAGTATATTGGATGTTATATTAATGGAACGGAGAAAATCTACCGCACGCGGTAGACTCGCCGATAAGTTCGCCTTTGAATAGTACGA